AAGAACTAGAAGGACTTACAACTAGAATATACAACTATGCACTGGGGCTTTGGGAAGGGAAAACAAAACAACAGAGGAAGATAGGCAACAGATGTTAGCTCAAGGCTAATCTTTCCCAGCAAAAAAAAATTACATTTAAAAAATTTTAGTTTTCTTTCTTTATCTGAAGGCAAAGGCAATAGATAGTAGCTTCAGTAATTCTTTCCTTTAATCTAAGAAAAAGTACACAGGTAGGTTGGCTTTTTAAGTGAAAAGGGATATATGTATTGAAATGAAATATATATTATATATATATAATCATATTGAACTGAAAAAGGAAAAGCTGTGGTTTGACAAGTCATACCTGATTTTTTTCGCCGGTATCTTCCCTATCAATGAATTGCAATAAATATGACCTTATTCATGTTGTACGTAGTAGTATATAGTTGGCATCTTTGGGTGAATATAATAACATCAATTTATACTTAAAAGTACAAAAACCAAATTCAGTTTTTTCAAATATTGTTTGTTTTCTTTCTTACACTTATATTTTGATTACTCAAATAGACAATTGTACCTTCTTGATGAAATTTGAATTTTCATTCTAGAAGACTTTTATATCAAATAATTCACAACCAGGTATCAATATGGAAAAGGAGCTTTATTCATCACTTTTTATGATAAAAAAATAAGGAGTAAATAAAATTATTAAACTTTAACGTTGACTTACAATTTTTCAAATACTCCTAGATGTTTATATTTAATCAAAGTATCCTTTCTAGAATTCTTAAAATTATTTTTATGAGTTCAGGATCACACAGGATGAATTAAAAAATTAGAAATGCCCTTCACTTTTGTTGTTATTTTTTTTAAAACTCTGTTCTAGGTCCTCTTGAATTTTTTTTCTTGTTTAGGATACAAATGGTGGTACTTAAAATAATACTAACAATTGCCACAGACCCAACTACTACCAACACCAAAGAAGAAATGTTAACTCCAGAATTAGGGAGATTTTCATCAGGACTGGGATTTGGATGAGTTTCATCAGGAGTGGGATCTGCTTCAGGAGTAAACAAAGCTACTTGTGCAATGTTGGATACTTTTGATGTCAAATTGCTTTTATCCACACTTTGAATGGCAATGAATATGTGGGTTGCATTTTCTTCTGAGATATTTCCTGGTTTAAATGCAAAAGTTTCCTGAGAGTTGGCCTCCTTTGGTAACAGATCAGTAGTGTTT